TATATATATATATATATATATATATATGTGTGTGTGTGTGTGTGTGTGTCCGCATCTGTAGCCTGTTATTGTCTCATTATACCACACTGTGAATGAATTAAAAGTAAATATAAGTGGTCATGAACACATCTGTCCATCAGACAGAGGGCTGCTGTGCCTCCTGTCATCATTAACGGATGTCTCTTTAAAATGACCGCTCAGAGGAGAGGAGTTCTCATTTCTCTAACCGCCTGCTGCTTCCCCTCCTCTCTCCTCGGTTCCCCTCCTCAGCTCCTCCGCTCGCATCTCCTGGCGGCGGGACTAAGTCTTGAGGATAGGAGTCGAGGAGGGGAGTTAGAGAAATGAGAAAGGGCCATGGAGAAAGGTACCGAACTCTTACATGGACATTTTCCATCTCTTCAGACGGAGGAGTTGATCGGACCAGAGTTATTTGTAACCACTGCAAAGTTGAATATTTTCTCTCTGGACTCTGAGGGTAACTCCTATAATGAACTAGATAAAACTTTAAGGCCCTGGCAGTAGCAAATAGCTTTGGTTTTATATTTTATTTGATTAAATTAATTCATGTTGAAGTTGAGATTTACAATATATATTTGAACAGCTCCTGGGTAAAGGGGATACTGCTGTTAAAAAGCACTAATGCACTTTTGTTCATATAGCAGTACTTTCAAAATAAAAGTACGCAATACACTACTTTTACATTAATTTCAGAATTTTGCGCATAACAGTGTGATTAATCGCTTAAAATTGTTAATCATTGCCCAGCACTAATTTGTATTAATGTATTAATTCATGTTTTCATTTAGTTAAGAACATTGTCATAGTCAAGTGTTTTTAATTACATTAAATGTGTGCTTGATTTGCAGAGGGTCTACAGTGTAAGCCAATGGATTTTCCTGTCAAATCTCACATTTCACTATGTTATTTTTTAACATTGGACATTTCATTTAAATGTTCTTTATAGTTGTGTTAGCCTTTGGAGAACACTGAGAATACTTTTTTGGCAGTAACAGGAAACATTTTTGATAAAGATTCTGTTCAGTATTGGCAGTCCTGATCTTCTGTAGAATTGACCTTTTTTTCCTATTTCACATTTGATGTTTTTGGGACTAGCTCCAACGATTGGACAATCTCTGTCATCATTTTGCATCTCCCACTGCTTCTGTTCTAATGTGAGTCATCCTGTCTGAATAATTATCCAGGCCTTTAGTTGAGAAGCTTCCGGAGCCTCATTTACACTAAAGATTACCAATGTGCTAATCTTCCCGTTTCCCCTAGTTCACATTTGAGTGATGTTGTTCCTGCTCTACTGCTCCTCTCAGACACACAGACAGTAAGCTTGCTACTGGAACACTAAATAAATGATTCAGTAAATGGTAAAAGAAAAACAAAAAAAACTCATTCAGCATCAGTATGGCCGTTTCCTCTTGATAAGGGTATTTCACATTGAATATGGCTCACTGTCATAATCATTTAAACACAGAGGTAATTAGATCCTGTACACAATGACAACCCTTCCCCCCACACACACACACACACACACACACACACACACACACACACACACACACACACACACACACACACACACACACACACACACAGCTAATCTTTACAAAAGAAGAAAAATAAATACTGAATTACTTTCATCAACAACACATATCACCATCCTCATAGTGAGTAAACCCTGTGAACGTTTCCAGAGTGAAGCTCTGGACAAATGGATGGCAGTTATATAAGAGGCTGTCACAATAAATGTTGGCACAAGTAGCAGGAGTATAAATGGCATTATTACAGATAAAAAACATGTGGCTCCAAAGAAACCAGCTTTGCTCAAAAGATGATTTCTTTGTCCCTGTTGAACCCAGGTGCTTCAGCTGTGGAATATGAAATATGGGTTTGGAATGTCTTTTTCTTTCACTTCAGAACTCTGGTCAGAACGTGTAGCAGGTACAGGGGGAATGGCTTGGTGTGCTTTTCAAAGCTTTTTAAATAACTATTTTCTTTCAATTGACGGGGAATCCGGCCATTTGTGCTTGCATTAAAATGAGGGGCCAGGAGACAGATTAGAAAATAGTTGGCAAAAATGAAGCATCAGAGGCTAAATATCCCAGCTTTTAGTCATTCGTTTGTGTCAATCTTAATTTTCCATATTGCAACATGAAAGAGGTTTTAAAGTGTGGTCCCTTAAAAATGTTGTTTAAAGCAACAAAACTGCATTGTCAATTACATTTAAGGGAAACACATTTTTGAAATTCAACTTATTTTTATTTAGCTCTGTAAAGAAAATAACATAACAAACGCAGCTATTTTCAGCCGAACAATGATATTTCCTTAATCCAACCAAGTCCTACTTTTCAATTTTTTCTTTTTTAATTCAATTTTTTCAATCCTCTAAAACTTCAAAAAATGCCCCAGAATGTATAAAAATCATTCCATCGGCGAGTAGAAATATGGAAATGTTCTAGTTAAACCGGTCATGGTTGATCCTGAACATATCAGAAATGGATTCAAGCATCCTCAATAGCCCCAAAACCACTCGAAAAATATCCCACTCTGCCAAGCCATTTTATAACTATTGTCCAAATAAGCTATATGCTTATTTACGCAACGTGAGCTAATTGTGCAAATTGCCCAACATGTGCCTGTTAGCATCCGGCAGCTTCTATGTGTTGGGGACCCTACTAGACATTTATATGACTATGGGGTTTTCAACATTTCTGGGTCCACATTACTGGCAACTGACTAGTTTACAGCGATAACCATGTATTTTAGACAGCAAAAGTAATGCGGAAGAAACTTCCTTCCAAACGTCGTCGTGAAAGCAGTTACGGAAACTTTATTTGACTGCCAAGGCACACA